CTGGCAGGGCGCCGCTCACGTCGTCGTCGTCGTTGTTGTCGCCGTCGTCGTCCTCGTCAATGCAGATTGCATGGCCGCTCGCCAGTGTCTTCCTCGTGCGTTCGCGCCTCGGCGTCTTTTCCTGCATGGGGCTGCCACCACCCAATTCACCCATCTGCTACGCCAGACGGAAATTCGCCTAAGCTTGAGCCGGCTTAGCTTTTCGCGACGGTGCCAGCACCTCGGCGCTGGAGGAAAAATCGTTGTCGTCGTCGTCCCAGCGCATCATCTGGGATGAAGCGCTGCCCCGAAGGAGTCGGGAGATCTGGGGCAGCGGATTGAAACATTCGCCGACCCCTTGAGGCTCCTTGGCGTGTGGGACTGTTGCCCCTCCCCAAATCCGTCCCCCCAGGAGCCTGGTCTGGCCGATTTGGGGGAGGGGGGAAGTGGCAGGTGCCAGCGGAATCGTTGGAACCAGGTAAGCTTCCAGTCGCGCCAAAATGCTCTAAAATAACTTCATGGCAGTGGACGGCCCAAGAGTAGTCCAAGAATGCCCCATACCTCCCAAGACGGCCCAAGAGAGCCCCAAGCGGACCCCCAAGAGGGCGACAAGAGGCAAACGTGTTGAGATTCATGTTGTTTTTTAATTGTGGATGTGTGCAAAACAACCCAAGATGCCCCACATACCGCCCCACCAGTGGTCCAAAAGGCCTCCGAGAAGGCCCCCGAATGGTCAAAAGACACGCCCGCGAGGGGCCCAAGAGGAGCCCAAGAGGGGAAACTCGAAGGGGCCCCAGAAGCTCCCCCCTCGCCCCCCTCCAGCAAGATAGCCCCTAAGACCCCCAACATGCTTCCAAGAGAGCCACAAGATGCCCCCCAGAGGCGCCCCAAAGCCCCAACAGACCCTAGAACAACTTTTTGGAGCATGGCTTTGGGCCCCTGCAAGAAAGGCATCCAGGTCTCCCACGGGGTAGGCGGTGCTGCGAAAATCAATGAATCAATCCGTCGGATGTCTGGGTTGTCGTCGGCGGGGTCGTCGTCGTCGTCGTCGTCGTTGTCGGCGTTCCCCCTCCTCCTCCTCCTCCTCCTCCTCCTCCTCCTCCTCCTCCCCGTCCTCCTCTTCTTCCTCCTCCTCCTCCTCCTTACTCCTGCACCTTCTTCACTGCTCCCTTCTAACGTGCTCTTTCTTCACTCCTCCCATCGTCCTGGTTGTCGTCGTCGTCGTCCTCCTCCTCCTCTTCCTCCACCTCATCCCCCACTCCTCACTTATCACTGATTGCTCCCACCCCTCGTCCACTCCTTTTCTCTATGAAGAACTCCTCCCTGTCGCACCCCGGAATCAATCGGAAAGGCGGGCGGGCCGTGCGTCTCGCCTGAGAATGCCTTACGAATTATCCGCCTCAAGCTGAGAAGCTGACAACCGTTTCACAAATGGAGGGCGGGGCGCTTCCACAATGCACACTCGCTTCAACAAAATGCAAGAGCTTCGCGGATTGAGGGCGGGTGGTTTTCAAACTGTGGCTATCGCCTTCGCGCTGCGCACACTCGTTCAAATCATGCAAGAGTTTTCCGGATTGAGGGCGGTTCGTTTTCAAACTATGGCTCTTTCCTTAGCGCTGCGCACATTCGTATAAAACATGTTCACGCGGGTTTTTGGATTGAAGGCGGTTCGTTTTCAAACTATGGCTCTTGCCTTGGTGCCGCGCGCATTCGGTTCAAATGTTTATGAGATTTTCGTGGATTGAGGGCGGGTTGTTTTCAACATGTGGCTGTCGTTTTAGCGCCGCGCACATTGTTTCACTCATTTGCAAAAGCTTTACGGTTTGAAGGCGGTTCCTTTTCAACCTGTGGTTCTCGCCTTCACGCCGCGCGCACTCTTGTAAAACCTTTGCATCAGTTTCACGGATTGAAAATGGCTCTCGCCTTAGCGCCACGCACATTCTTTGTTCACATTTGCAAGAGTCTTATCCTCATGGTTAATGTATCCGGAATCATGCTTGGAACGAGTCAGGACTGTCAGGGTGCAACACTTCAAATGATTTGCGGTGTTGAAGTCTTAGGAATGGTGTTCTCGCAAGATTCAGGATCGTCAAGACGCAACCGAGGGGTTGACTCGCGGTGTTGACGTACTGAGAATGGTGTTCTGGCACGCTTCAGGATTTTCGCACGATTATCCGCCAGCGGGGCACTTCCCTCAGTGGCAATGAATCCTTGTAGGGGCCTGTGAAGAGGGAGCTTGGAGGGAGGGCATATTCCAACATCGCTGATGAGTCTTAGGTTTACATGGTCACTCCTCCTGGTCGTCCTCCCCACCTCTCCCCGTCTGCGTCCTCCTGCTCCTCCTCCACCTCTCTCTTCCTCATGAGCAAACGCCCACTGTCGCACAACCAGCCGTGTCGTTAGGGCGGGCAGGGCGTCACGCCTGCGACTTCCTCACCGTTTGCAATCTTGAAGCTTAAAAACTGCCAACAGCTTCGCGCATGGAGCGCGGATCATTCACACAATGGGCCTATCACTTTGCCGCCGCGGGCACTTGTCCTTTTTTAATCCAGTGCTTCGCGGGTGGATGGTGGGTGGGGTTTAAAACGAAGCTCTCGCTTTGGCGCCGCAGACACTCCTCTTAAACTTTTCCAGCAACTGCACGGGTAGACGGGGAATCGTTTTTCAAAATGAGACTCAGCCTTCGGCACCGCGCACATTCGTATTACACATCAACTTTTTACACGGATGAAGGACGTTTACTTTTCAAAGCTGGGCTCTCGCCTTGGCGCCGCAGACACTCGTCTTAAGCAACGCCATCGGTTACAGGGATGGAAAGCGGTTCCTTTTCACCATGGTGCTTTCGGGGGTATTTTGTCAACGTTTATTGCTACGCATTTAGCACCGCGCACTCGCTACACGGACGGATGGCGGTTCCTTTTCAAAATCGAACTCTCGCTTGAGCCTTCGTTTGATTTTAATGGTCGACGCTGAATGGATGGAGGGCGGCTCCTTTCCCAAGCAGGGCTGTCGCAGGGCATTTCCTTGACCTTTACAGCCCCACCTGCTTGCATTCCTTTGTTGGAGGCCTGGGAATTGGCACCAACACCAACACAGGGTGTTGCCTCCACAGGGGAAGATGATCCTAGATTTTCGGTGTTTGTGGTAATATTTCGGCCACCTTGGAAGCCAGAATATTACCACCATCACCGGGATCGGGATCTTCTTCCCTCGGTGGAGGCACACCGCCAAAATTGATGTTGGTGTCAACCTCTAGGCCTGCGACTTTGAGCTCGAAAGATGGACAACACTATGTTTCGAAACGGAGCTCCCGCCTGAGTTGTGGGCCCAGAGGGCGCTCGTCCTCACAGGGTGGGCGCTTCGCGCAGTGAGGGAGGAGGGAACTTGGGACGGGAAGGTGTATTGCAGCGCCGTCGATGCATCTTGGGTTTACGCTGGTCCTCCTCCTTCTCCTCCTCATCCTCCTCCTCCCTCCCCTTCGCGCGGCCGAGCGCGAAGGCGAGGTTCCACTCTTCCTGTAAAATTTTGCCCTTCGAGGTTCGACGAGAGAAGTATCCGGCCATTATCCTAACGTCTTGGGGCGTCTGTGTTCTTTGTTTGGGGGCGCCCCCTCTGGGGGTCAGGCTCCGGGGCAGAGGCAAGCCTCACTACTGCCTCCTCCTCTTCCTCCTCCTCCTCGTTATTGTTTGGCCTTCGGGGGGGGGGGGCCTCGTCGCCACGGTTGGACGCGGCTTGAAAACTGTGCCAGGATTGACGCCAGGGAGCGGCCTGGGGACGGGTTGGCGCATGGCCAAGGACGAGGAGGAGGCGAAGAAGGAGGAGGAAGACCAGCGTAAACCCAAGACTCATCAACGATGTTGGAAGACACCCTCCCTCCCTCCAAGCTCCCTCTTCATAAACTCCTACAAAGATTTCCAATTCGGAAATTGTCCTGTTGGGGGACAACCGTGTGGAAATCTAGTAGCGTACCAGGACACCATTCTCAGGACATCCAAGCCACGAATTGACCTGACTGCTGCGCCCTGGCGATCTTGAATTGGGACTTCAACACCGCGATTCCACATAACTGTTGCGCCTTGTCAATCCCGAATCGCTCCCAAACGCATTTTTTTTGGAACGTTAACCATGAGAACCCGTGACCCTCTTGCGCATTTTAATAACTAACGTGCGCGGCGCTACGGCGGGAGCCACGTTTTGAAAAGGAACCGCCCTCAGTCCGTGAAGCTCTTGCGATTTTTTGGAACGAATGTGCGCAGCGCTAAGGCGAGAACCGCATTTTCAAAACCACCCGCCCTCAAGCTGTGAAGCTCTTACAACTGTTTCGCACTGGTGTGCGTGGCGCTAATGCGAGAGCCACATTTTGACAACGACTCGCTCTCAATCGATGAAACGCTGGCGAATGTCTAAAAACGAATGTGCGCGGTGCTGAGGCGAGAACCGCATTTTGAAAACCTCCCGCCCTCACTCCGGGAACTCTGGTGTACACTGTATACAAGAATGTGCGCGGTGTTGAAGCGAAGACCACATTTTTGAAAACGACTCGCCCTCGATCCGTGAAACTCTTGCGAATGTTTGAAACGAATGCGCGCGGCACTGCGGCGAGAACTGCATTTTCAAAACCACCCGCCCTCGGTCCGTGAAGCGCTTGCTAATTGTTGAAGCGAATGTGCGCAGCTCCAACGCGAGAGCCATATTTTGGAAACCACCCGCCCTCCATACGTGAAGGTGCCAACTTTCAAATTTCAAGCAAATAAGTGGTGAGGAATCTCCATCGGAACGCCCGGCCCGCACTTCTGACTGGCCTGGGGTGCAACAGGGAGGAGCTCTTCATAAGAAAAGGAATGGAGGAGAATAGGGGGGGAAGAGGAAGAGGATGATGATGATGAGGAGGATGAGGAGGAGGATGAGGAGGAGGAGCAGGAGCAGGAGGAGGCGGAGGAGGAGGAGGAGGAGGAGGAGGAGAAGGAGGAGGAGGAGGAGACGAAGAAGGAGAAGGAGGAGGAGACGGAGGAGGAGGAGGA